CCACGTTAAATCTGCCCAGGAATCTGCATTCATACGTGCTTCTGGGTAATGGTGGGGCTGCCCTCCCTGCAGAAAGCAAGCTGGGTGGCGAGCCTAAGGAAGAAAGGACCTGCTTCTCCTGTTTCATGCTTTTATCATCTAGTGAAGAAGATTTGTATGAAGTACTTGGCAAAGCATACTGAGCTAACTCCAGCGGTGAACAGGCCGCCAGTGGTGAGGGTGACTTTCTGGGTACCAGGAAGGCTTCCCACTTAAAGTGACATCTGAATTGAGGTGTGCAGAAGAGAGCCCGAGGCAGGGTACAGGTTATAAATGTTCAGTCTCTATGTCTGATGTCAGGGAATTAGACTCTCTAGGCACCCTTTTTTCTTTTAGTCCTTAATGCAGTTTCTTTCACTCCATATGTTGTCACCTCAAAGGTAAAATTAGTGCTGAATAATTGGTGCTATAAGAGTACAACCCATACATACACTTTGATTTGCACTGGCTTTGGAGATCATTTGGAGGCCCCATCTTTGGGCAGAAATGCCAGTGATTGGTGATTCAGGTGGGAAACCAGCTCAAGTTTAGTTAGGGGTGCTAGTGTGCCATCTGGTGTAACTCTCAGCTCTGAAGTTCTATCCAGGTTTATTCTGTTTGGAATCTGGTACAGTCCTGCTCAAGAGCAGCGGCAGGTGTGATGAGGTGTTTTAAAAAGAGGAAATTTGGTGGTTGGCTCCTTACGCCTGCACACCTTCAGTTTTTAAAAAAGCAGATGTGTTGCCCTGAACCATGTAGCTCAGTTGGATGGACATCGTCCCGCAAAACGAAAGGTGGCTGTTTCATATCCCTGTCAGGGAACTTGCCTGGGTTATGGGTTAGTTCCCTGGTTGGGGTTCATACAAGAGGCTCAGTGTTTCTCACATCGATGTTTTTCTTCCTCTCTCCCTCCCTTCCCATCTCTAAAAATAAATAAGTAAAATCTTTTAAAAAATAAAAGTAAAAAAGCAATTGTGTGAGAACTAATCCATGCTCTTATGGTCACATCTGTAAGCTAGAAAAGATAAGAGTCTAATGGTGACAGGATTTTGTGAGAACAATCTTGTCAACTTGCCATTCTCATAATACAATTTTTGTGTGCTTTTCGTTTTTAGCTGTTTATCAACTCAGGAAAACTGGTGGGAGTTAGACAGCAGTCACATAAGTTTCCTCTTACTTAGATAGATCCCTTCAGTGAATTTACTACATATTGACAGACTATAAACAATTTTAAAAGGTTTTGTGTGTTTTTAGTATTTTTGAAGAAAAATTATTCTTTCAAGATCAGGGGCTCAAATTTTAAGATAACACAATGGTTTTCAAACGTGGTTTTTAAACATACATGTATATAAACGTCCAGGGTCTCTCCACACGGAGTGTCTTTGTCAGGGTGCCAGGGGCTCAGGTATTTAAAAGCCTCTCAGGGTAACCGATACAGAGCAAGGATAGCTGGAGAATCTTGAATGATCTGCAGTGGTTCAGGAGCCTAATTTTGACCCTTTATATTCCCACGGCTGAGAAAGAGAGGAGAACAAACACATAAACTAAAACTATTAGTTTTGACTTCAGCTTTGGTAATAAAAGTTTTACCCATTTCCACTAATTCTTGTTTTTTCACCTGCTTTTGCCGCCTAAGTATCTTGGTTTTTAATCATCTTAACCATTTGTTTCTTTTAATTCTCACCTGAGGATCTGTATTAATTTTAGAGAGAGAGAGAGGAATTGGGGCAGGGAGAGAGAGACATCGATTGGTTGCCTCCCGTACGTGACTTGACCAGGTATTGAACTGGCAACCTAGGTATGTGCCCTGACTGGGAATGGAACCCATAGCCTTTTGGTGTACGGGACAACACTCCAACCAACTGAGCCACCTGGCCAAGACATACTGTTCTATTTTTTGACTGTATGAGCTTGTCTACCTAGACACCTCATCATATAAGCAGATTCCTACAGTATTTGTCTATTTGTAACTGGTTTATTTCACTTAGAGTAATGTCTTCAAAGCTTACCCATGTTGTAGCATGTGACAGGGTTTTTTTAAATGCTGAATTATGTTCCATTCTATGTATATATCATCTTATTTATCCATTCATCTGTTGATGGACACTTGGGTTACTTCAGCTTCTTGGTTATTGTGAATAGTACTGCTATGAGCATGAGTGTGCAGATGTGTCTTCGAGACTCTGCTTTCAGTTCTCTTTGTTGTATATCCACAAGTAGGATTTCTGATCATATGTTAATTCTGTTTTTAGTATTTTGAGCAACTGTCATGCTGTTTTCCATAGTGGAAAACGTTTTACATTCCCACCAGCAGTACCCAAAGTTTCCAGTTTCTCTGTATCTCCTCCAACATTTGTTTTTTTTCTGTTACCTTTTTATAGTAGACTAAGGAGGATAAGGTGATACCTCCTTATGATTTGGATTTGCATTTCGCCAATAATTAGTGACATAGAGCATCTTTTCATAAGCTTTTTGGCCATTTGTATGTCGTCTTGGGAGAAATGTTTATTGAGGTACTTTGCTGTTTTTTAATTGGGTTGATTTTGTCCTTTGATATGGGCATAAAATTTTTAAGTTTGATATTGTCCCAGTTGTTTGTTTGCTTTCGTTTCCTTTTGTTTTCATGTCACATCCAAGAAATCTGTGCCAAGTCCAGTGTCAAAGTTAGCTTTCTCCCTGTGTTTTCCGCTAGGAGTCTTACACTGAGGTCTTTAATCCATTTTAAATTAATTTTTGTTTATAGTATAGTAAGGAAAGAGCCCATCTTTATTCTTTTGCTTGTAGATACCCCGTTTTCCTTGCACCATTTGTTAATCCTCTCTCCCTTTTCCCTTGAGTACCCTTGGGACCCTTGTTGATGATCATTTGACCATATACAAAAAGATTTATTTCTGGGTTCTTTATTCTGTTGGTTTATATGTCTGTCTTTATGCAATCACCACACCATTTTGATTTCTGTTGCGTTGTAATGTGTTTTGAAATCAGGAAATCTGCATCCTCTAATTTTGGTATTTTTAAAATAAGGTTGTTTTGACTGTTCAAGTTCCCTTGAGATTTAATATGAATTTTAGGGTGAAATTTTTTTCTGTTTCTGCAAAAAATGTTGTTGGGATTTGGATAGGGATGGTGTTGTGTAGTATTATTTTTTAAAAAGGAAACAGTTTTTAAAAAATCACCTCAGGAGATTTTTGAAATAATCTTGGCAAACAAAGAAGGCTCACCAGTATCTAGAATATGAGATACATAACCTTTCACATGTTATTCCTTGCCTTCCTCGGCACACAGTCTTGGTATAGGAAAAAAACAGTTACTGGGTAATTACATGACTGCAATACCTAGAATTCCTTTCCACAGATACTGTCTCTGTGGAACCATCCAGCTCCCCCTGCCCCTTGGTCTTGGTGGCTCGTGGGTACATAGTCTCTCAGTCACCCTCAGGCTTGAAAGATTGAGCTCAGAGCCCGGAATACCATGCTCCGATGTAGAGCCACCACTTCTGCCCCTTGTCTGAGGATGAGAAGTTGTCATCCCATTCTCACTCTGGGACTGGAGAGCATGACAGGAAATAGTCCCAGATCCTTGAAGACACTGCAGTGATTCCTGGAGATGACAAGAGATTTTCAGGGGGACAGGTGATGTGTAGGTGTGGGGTGAAGCTTGGGCATTTTTTTGCGGGGGGGTTGTTCTCTGAGAAAGTTATATCAGAAAATTCATCATGGGGGCTGTTTCTTGAGTTGGCTTGTTTTGCCTGTCATCTCTGAAACCTAACCCCTAATGTGCTGTACCTAAAAGGCAAGCCCTGGTACCTGGTTGGGAAGTGAGTGGGAGGCCAGGAGGAGCCAGGAGGGGCGGGTCATGGAAGAATCCCTGCAGGTTCTGTTGCATGGAGCTGAAGCTCTTTACAAGGGAGGATTCCTTGTGGCAGCAGTGTTTCAGGTCCCCCATTCCTTGGCTTTCCTGTGATGGTGCTTGTGTTTTCTTTGACCTAAATAACTAAAGTGGGATGGCATGGCACAGACTGTCTGCCTGGAGGGATGGCTTTCCTCCTGTGTGTTTGTTCATCACTGCCCTGTTTTCAGGGAGATGTGGTTCTCAAGGGCCTCTCTGTTGTGTGCCAGGTCTTATCTGACCCTGGAGAGTGAGGGTTGTGGGTGGTGAGGTTAAGGTGATGCCTGTGTGCGACAGAAGGTGTGTGGAATCGTTTTGCCATTGATCTCTTTAAAAATTACCCTCCATCATTTCAGGGCCTGGTTTTATGTGTACCAGACACCTAAAGCAAACTGAAAGCCTATTTTCTCCCATACTTTTGTGCCTTTGCTTTTATGTCAGATTTGTTTTACGTAACTGGTAGATTTTTAATTAAAATGGTGTTACTTTAGAGCAGCACTTTTCAGCTGGTGCACCATAAGAATTTTTTAAAACATGCAGCACCTGACTATTCAGTCAGGGGCCCTGACCTCTTTTCTCTTAGATTGTCAAATAAAAAATTGACAACAGCCAACATAACAATAGCCATCTGGTGTAAATAAATAAAAATTATTACTATTTTTGGATGTGCCACAGAATTTTAGTAATTAGTTTGTGTGTGCCATGAGATGAAAGAGGTTGGAAATGGAGGCTTTAGATATTCATGCTTGATTCTGTGTCTGAAAAGTCAGTTTTCCTTCTGATCTGACTGCTTTATCTGGGACAGATCTTCTCAGAAAAGAATCAACTTGGTCATCAGATTGACCCTAATTAGAGGAAAACCAGCCCAAATAATTGGCCCAGCATGCATTTTGTTCTAGATAATTAGATTTCCTATTTTTGTTTTAAGTTCTTGTAATGGCAAATGTAAATTAGATACTATGAAGAATAATAAAATAACTAACATTTTGGTGAATGATGCACCAACACTTTTATTAAGCAGTCTGAACTCAGGCATTCAAAATTATTTTAGTGTTTTTCTTGGAAATAACACACTTCCATTTTGTCTCCTTTAGTTGACCAAATATACCATCTGGCCTCTCCAGCCTCCCCTCCAAATTACATGTACAACCCCATCAAGACACTAAAGACCAATACAATCGGGACGTTAAACATGCTGGGTAAGTTGTCCTTTCTTTATTTTGTAGCTGTTGCGAGTACTGTAGACAACTCCAAGTGGAGGTCATTGGCTGCGCTATGGGAGTCTGATCCTGGTCTTTATACCTCCCCCTCAATCCCCGCCTGGGCTATTCCAGTGTGACTTTATTTATCATCAGAATTGGTCATGGGGGAGATGGTCATTGGCATAACCAGTTCATTCCCCTGGGGTGACCAACCTCATGTGCTTCCAAGTGACAGCCCAACCTCCTTCCATGTTCCCCTCTGACACATGGAGTGCGCACCTCCGTGCTAGAAAGGGGTGATGGTGGCTCTGATCCGAGATTGGATTGGAGAGGTCTGCACACACACTCACACACACCACAGACACATTCATACAGTCAGGGACACACTACACACACTCATGCACACCACAAACACACACACTCAGCGACACATACATCACATACTCAGTGACACACCACACACACAAACAGGCACACTTTCAGCGATACATACACCACACACACACCACAGACACCACACACAGGGACGCATCACCATGTGCACACATGTGTGCACACTCACACACACACCACAGCCACACACCATACTCAGTCGCAGCATGCACATGCACAGCACACACACACCATACACACTACGCACTCATACACACTATACTCAGAGACACACCATAGAAACACACACCACACGTAGAAACAACATATACCATGCGTACACTCACATGGACATTTCAGGAGCGCTCCTGAAAGGAGTTGGAGGAAGACTGTCCTATGAGGTTGTCGAAACCTGTAGTACTTGGCTCCAGACAGAACTGCAGGATTCACCGTAGAAGTACGAGAGGAGAGTGAGCACTGTTAAAGGTGGCCACGCATGTGTATTCCCAAACGACATGCTGTGGATAATATGCATATAGCAATGCTTGAAATTAGAGGCGTGCTCAAGCTTGTCACAGATTCCAAATGGACTAGGGGTGTTAATTAGTTACAAAGTGGAAGGAAGGATCCACTTTTTAAAATGTCAGGTAAGAATGGATTTAATTATAGTAACAGTTAAAACAGGTTCTACGAATGGATTTGGGAAAGATAGCACTAAATTTTAATTTGACTGAAGCCTCAGACAAAGGTCTGAAAAGGCACCTGGAGGTTGGTTTCCACACTGTCTAGTCTCTTAAACTAGACATTTTGGGGAATCAAGCTCTGCATGAAGTAAAAGGATTCATTCTCATAGTCTAGAATGGGCATTTATCCTTGTCTGTGTAATGACTCCTACCCTGGTCACCAGACAGAAGAGAGTGTCCCCAACCCCCCGCTTTGGCTTCGAGATAATGGTGTGTTACAGGCTGCTCTCCGCTCTTGCCACTGTAAGCTTCTTCCCCCATCTTCACCCTCTCTCCCTGACTACCGAAACGCCTTCTTCATACCAGAGCGAGGTACAGTAGAGGAGGAGCCACCAAGCGCATGATGTTTAATAGGATATCATTTGTTGTACCAGTTTAGGAGATGCAGTCAGTGTGCCCAAGGCACTGTGCTGTCATTGTGGAGGGGAACTCGGGTAAGGGCTATACTCAGGCTCCTCTGCTAGGGAACTAGGTGTCTCCAGGGAGATAATATATGGGCACAGGCATCAGTTGGGTGCTGTTGGAGTTCCAGGTACTAGTGGCTCTTGGGCTAGGGCTTCGACCCTGAGTGAGGTTGGACCCGGAGGTCTTGAAGGAATGGCAGAGGGTCTTTCAGCAATGGACATGGACAGAGGCTGAAAAGGGGCAATTGCTAGGCCAGAAAGACGTAAACGGGACTCTTGTTTTCTGCACTGAGAGGAGCTGTCGGTGGTCATTTTATACTTGAGCTAAGATGCCCTGAGTGTCATCTGGCTCCTTCCTGGTAGGCGCTTCTCTCTCTGGTTTTACTGCCTCCATGTTCCTGACCTTGGTATCTTCATGATGCAGGCTCTTTGTCCATTCCTGCAGAGACACCTGGGCACTGCAGGAGCACAGGTGTGCTGCCACGGCTTCAACCCTGTGGAAAAGGGAGATGTCCTCTGTCTTCAGTGCCTCCATGTCAGTATCTTGGTTGTGATACTGAACCATAGTTTTGCAAGTTTTTACCGTTGGGAGAAACTGAATAAAGGGTATATGGGATCTTTCTGTATTCTTTCAGCTTCATTTGAATGTACAATTCAAATTAAGGTTTTGATTAAAATACAAAGACCTCGGGATCCTTCCCTTGAAACAACTACCACTGTGTCTGTGCAAGTGAGGTGGAGTGGGGAGCCAGCTCGCAGACTCCGTGTGCCGGACCGGAGTGACAGAGAGAGGCCTGCGATTTTGGAGAGCCTACGAGTAAATTCCAGATCGTACCACATCCCTTTTACCATTTTTTTCCTTGCTAACATGGTGGCATTTTCACAGGTTATCTTTGAATCTTTACCGTTCAGCAACTCTCTTCTCTTTTTCTCCGTGTGTGTCTTCCTGGCTCCCCCAGGTGCTCCTACATACTCACCCCTGGTTGCCTCGTACTAGGACCCTTCTGTCTTGCCCAGTCTCCCCAGAAGTGGCTTTAGGTTATGTGTACTCATTTACCCTCTTCCTCCTTGCAGCACTTCATGGGCCCGTGCTCAGTGCTGGGTGCTGAGGGGGTGCAGCCAGGGGGCTCTCGGAGTGTGTCTGTCTGTACAAGGCTCCACGGTGGAATACCTTTGGGAAGTGCTGGGTTAAGTGAGGGGTAGTGGGGTTCTTTTGTACAGGGCACCTAAGAACGTCTGATGACTTCCTATACGTTGGGATTCTTGACTTTCCACATTTAACATGGCCACCATAGATGGTGATGTTCTAGTCCATTCTACATGTAAGGGGTGAATGCAGGAAGGTGTTCAGAGCAGGGTGGCAGAATGTGGTGAGTTGCTTTGGAGAAGGTGCTAGTTAGGCTAAACCTGAAAGGAGCGGGGGGGGGGTGGTGGAGGTGCCCAGATTTGGTGACTGGCTCTGGCACAGTCAGAAGATGCTGGGAGCATGTCGAGGAAGTGGCAGGTAGACCATTTTGGGGGGGAATAGCAGAAGGTAAGGTGCGAAGGGTCTTGCTTTGTGCCAGCCAGGGTGAAGCTATGTCATAAAATACTGGATATGTTGGGGCAAAGGAATCTTCATGAAACTCCTCAGATCACACCTTATCAAACCAACAGATTCCGCATTTGGCCCTGCTTACAATTATAGGTATCTAACTAACTATTGTGCTTCTGAGGGTTCATTTGTGTTTTTCTTACTGTTTTTATTGGGGTTTTTTGTTTGTTTTTATTTTCAAAATAGGTACAGTAAGAGCAGATACCTGAAGATGCATGGTTGATCAGATACCATTAATACTAAAAAATTGCTGAAATTGGCTACAAAAGTGTACATGTGTATTTTTTCCTTGTTTCCCGGACATTGACAGTTTCCCTTATTATGTTCCTGCTTTCTGTAGGGCTGGCAAAGCGAGTCGGTGCTCGACTGCTCCTGGCTTCCACCTCGGAGGTATATGGAGGTAAGTGGGTGGGGCTCCCTTTGGACAATTTGCATCCTGTCTTAGGTGAGGAAGAACTCAAAACTGAGTCCAGAATTTTGTTTCTGAGAAGGCCCAGCCTGCTTTTTCACTCCAGGGCACAGCAGCAGAGGGCTGCCCGTCCTGCCGTCATGGTCTGCAGGCTCCCGCCTCCCTGCTGAAGCATACCCTGGGAAGACTTGCCATTGATGATTCCATAGATGTGTTTTTGCCATTCTGCTCTGGAAGTACCCCAGAAATCACATTCGTTAGGGATTCTTTGCCAGTTTAGCTGGTGCATGTTATTCTTCAATGTAAATAATGCCTGTCCTGAGCCAGCCTACCAGGAGCTTGGGGTTGGCCTTGAAGCTTGCTTGGTGAAGGGATTTGTGCTGATGCCTCATTGTTGTAGAACCATTTCTGGAAGAATCTACCTTTTATGGTAGTGCCAGAAAACTCAAGGTCTTGTTCTAACCTGCAGCACTTCAGCACCCTCCATAGGGAGTGGGATGAGGGCTGCCGTGTTCAGTTCACATGGATTTCCATTTGGCCTCAAACCAGTTGGGTGTAGGGTTTTGGAGCACTGCTTAGAGGATGCGGCAGGAGCCAGAATTTGCCATGCTGGAACTCATCCACCTCACATACTACAAGGGACAGGAGTCACGGGGGAGTGGAAGGGCAACACGGGAAGAGATGTGTTTTTATTATGGGAAACCAAATGAAAAAAAGTTTGAGAAACAGAAATTCCACTACATGCAGTCATGTTCGGTGTAATCCCTATGAAAAGGTAGAGCACTGTCCTCTTCTTTGAAATCCTAGGCAGAGTTAAAAGGGCAGAAATATTCACATTCCCCTCCCCGTTTACTCTGTTGCTTTAGGAATAGGTAGTTGAGTGGATGCTGAAATTCTTCCCTCCCTGTTCTTTCCATATCAGGACTTTACAGAGAATCACAAGTTCCCCATTTGCATTGGATGGTTCCTCTTTGCTTCCTCTGCTGGGCTTCATATGTCTCAGTTGACAAAGTCTGACAGGCTGTACCTTTTGAAATGCTTGAGATATAAAGGTGTTCATGCTCTCTGTCCAGGAGAGTGTAGCGACCGCTTCCACATCCACCCTTTCTCCCCGACCCAGTTTATTATCTGCACATTTGGCAATAGCTTGTGTTCTTCAGGGTCTTAAATAATCTCAGGGGATCCACTTGGTGCTCCGCTCTGACCTTTCATAACCACTGTAAACTGGCATTTTGTGGAGTGCATGCTTGGTCTATTAGCCAAGCAAAGTGGAGAATAGGGGAGCCTGATTAGAAAACAGTTGTGACTCTAGCCCTTTACTTTTGTAATTTCAAAGTGATTTTGTGAGGGAACTTTTAAAGCTGTGTCATGAACCTTAGGCATCGTGGGCATGTCATCCCAGACAGTGCCTGTCAAGGAATGGATGGGTGTACTTGGCCTTCTCTTTATCATCATTTGCCAAATTTATGATCGTCTCTTTTGGAGTCTACTACTCCAGCCCTTGCGAAAAATCCCCAGAAACGGTCTGATGTCAGTCATCTGTTACATCTGTGTGAATTTACGTCATTGGTGCTCTTCTCTCTAAGAGGATTTGCCTTACCTTTTCTCTCACCATGCAGTAAACATGTGCATCGTCTTGGGGGGTTTTAAGCCTCAGCAGTAAATAGAAAGGTCCATATCTGCACTGTGCATCTGCTGCCCTTTGGGAGAGGTGCTAGGTGACCAGCTGAGGCACCTGTGTGCTCACATCCCCTCCCTGGGCAGGTCCTGTTGTACCCATAAGCCAAAGCCAAACTTCTGCTACAAGATACACAAGAAGTTAAGGTATAACATAGCTTCCTGCACCTTGTCCAGATGTCTTGGCAAGATTTGCACATTTTATACCATTGTTGTATAAAATTCCCGGTGTACTAAATTAGTTATTAATTCACATTCTAAAAATATACTTGTGTTAAAGAATTTGTTACTGGGTTTTCTTACTTGTCATTCCCCTGGTATATCTTAAAGCGTAATGAGTCACACACCAGAAAAACAGGAAATGGAAAATATAAAATGTGTGCTAAAGGGACAAACAGTTATTTGCCATTGGACGCTCCCACTGACATTGGACCAGGACTCCTGGGTGCCTCTTTGAGGTTCTCAGGTTTGTTCTGGTAATGGCACATGTGAAAGTCATTTTCCACAGGGATACTTTTAAATTTTTTTCAATAAATACATGCTTTGCTTTTATTACATATTTTATAAATGTAAAATTAACCCATATATCTCTTCACATAGATTATATTTAATTATGGTTTGTATAGTAATTTAAAAGTTAGGAACAAGTTATAGGAGAGAGGGAAGATGTAAAATTGAGAGCCTTTGATCTTTTAATTTTCTTCCTGTAAAATATGATATTAACATGAGAGGTAAGAGCAGTGTATCCCACTGGACTGTGAAACATTGCAGTTCCCTAGATACAGATCTCTTCATGTGTAAAGTTTATCTTGGTCTTCCCACAACTCCCTTTTGTATCATAAATACTATGTTCATCATGCATGTGAACTTGAAACAAAGGAAAGATGAAAACATGGTCTCATTTCTCCCCCTCCTAGACCCTGAAGTCCACCCTCAAAGTGAAGATTACTGGGGCCATGTGAACCCAATAGGCCCCCGAGCCTGCTACGATGAAGGCAAACGTGTTGCAGAGACCATGTGCTACGCCTACATGAAGCAGGTATCAATCCAAGTGCATGAGCTTGTGGCTCAGGCATGCGGTGTGTCAGTTTCGCCGGATGTAAAGCATAAAGGAATGAAAGTCATGATTAACTCTGCCAGGGTGGTGCTGGAGAAGGAAACCCGGACTCCCACTCTTATACATTAATGGTATCAGCAACAGCTTTCTTCATGTGTCTCCCTCTCCTACAAAATGATTTCTGGGGGACAAATTCTTAGCCTACTATTGTACAGCGAGGAACAATACGCTGCTTTATTGTCTTATTACCCACCAGCAGTTTAAGTGCCTTTGTTTTCCTAAATTCAGTGGACTTTTTTTTTTGTTTTTTTTTTTACTTCCAGTTATCTAATAGGTGTAAAAATGAATTTATTATCGCTTTTATTTGAACCTCTTTAGGAACTGCTATTTACTCTTCTTTCCTGCTTTCTTGGTCACTCATGACTTTACAGGTGACTTTTCTCATGGGTAGTTTTGGTCACAGATTTGTACACTCATGTGCTGTAACAGAAAGAACCCACAGACTGAGAGGCGGGGTATCTGGGTTCGCATCCTGGTTCTGCTGCCACCTCATCCTCAGAGATGTGACCTGACCTCGTTAGTCCCTTAGTTCTCGTCTCTTACGGGGGTTCAGTGCATTGTTTTGCCTGCCTCACGTCTGCATGGGAGCCGATGAGGCATACAGACAGGGCCCTCAAGGGGCCAGGTAAGAGCCTGGCTAGTCCATCCATTTCGTGGTGACTGTCCTGTTGTACGCGGACCAGTGCTCTGGGCTCCTCATGGACATACGCTTTGCCAGAGGGATGACTACGTGGACAGGACAGGCTGTTAAGTGGTGGGCTGTGCTCTCAGGACTTAAAGAGGAATGGGGATCATCGTTGCTGCTTGGGCAGTGAGATTCGTAAGTGAGGAGCTGCAGCATGACCTTGTCACCGTATAGTTGTGTATGTGCAGCCTTTCAGAGTAGTACTTTTGAGAAGTGACATGATTTATGCTATCTGAGGACTAGGGAACAATGCCTAAAAAGAAGGATGTATCATGTAGGATACTCTGTCTTTGACATGTTTTTAATTATTTAATAACATACATTATTATTTTTTATACATGATGACACATCCACTTTTAAGTATAAATCGTTTTATTTCTCTCATGATATGTGGATATGTTTTACTCTGAATAAACCTAGTATATAAGACTTGAGAATATAAACAAGATAAATAGTGGTAGGAATAATCTCTTTTTAGTTCTTTTCCAAGAGATTGTCTTCTGAGTGTCTCTTAATGAAATATGCTAATGTATTCAAAATAGAATTTTATTTTGAAGAAAAAAAATCTGTGGCACATAATACATTTTAGAGACGTGAAATATAAAGAGAAGCTTCCTTTAGTTTTCTTTCAGGGGATGGAGTGAGGTGGAAGTCGAGATCAAAGGGCATAGCACCTTTCATGAATACTTTGAACTTGTCAGCGAGGAATTAGATTGTGAGTTCTGCGAGCACTTGGATGTAGTGGTTTTGTAAATGTGGGGGTTTCTCTGCTGTGCTGCGGCCAGTGCTTGGTGTGTGTTTGAGCTCAGAGCCTGGCAGCAGTCTGACACTGCGGATCTGTGGCCCACCCAGGGGCAGAGTGTGCAAACAGGCCGCCATTCATAAAACCACAGACTGGCAAAGCAGACAGAGCGCTGAACCATCAGCTAATCCGGTGGTATTAAAGATATGACATTGTTTTATTTTCTGGCATCAGAATACTTAAAAAAAAAAAAAGGTGGTATGTACCTTATATTTCAGTTTTTAAAAAGTAGTCAGCAAGCAGTTAAAACAAGTGAAATGTTCTGTGGGTAGGATTCACACACTGGAGGTCAAGACCTCTGTGGCCTGGACCTGCCCAGCTCTGACGCTTGCTAGGCACCTGCTCTGTATGTCTACGCACCCTCCTAGAAACTGGCAGACTGATAATTATTCCTTCCTGGCCTGGAAGTGAGCGTAGCCTGCTGTGGAGCTAACACTCAGGCCCAGTGGTTACGATACAGCTGTTGAGGAAGATTGCTAGGCAAACGCATGCTGCTGTCCCCTGACCTTGTATGGCCTTCTCCCTCTGCTACCACTGAGAGGGAGTTGGACCACTTGCGCACCTCAAGATTCTTGCTCAGCGAAGTGAGCTCTGTGTTCTGTTATGGCCTTGGTCTTATCCCCAGGTAGGGAGGAGATCCCATCAAGAAATAATTTATGAGAGGCCTCGCAGGAAATACATGGTTCTGCCTCAGGGCTGCGCGGCTCTATTGCTTTAGTGCGTGTAACTTGGGGGCATGAGGAAGTGTAGGGAAGTGTCACAGAGTAGGGCCTGCCCAACCTGGGAGCACTCCCTGTTAGTTCTTTCATGTCCCTTTAGGAAAATATGCCCTGGTGCCTCTTTCAGGACAGGTTGTCTACACAGTGGAGAGGGACAGTCAGCACCTGCTCTCCCTGGGCACTGCTTCTCTGTTCCATCCCATGCACCTCCCATCAGTGAAGAAAGCGATCATGATCACACTGTGTTTTTCAGTGGCTTGAGACAATGGTGTCCAAGGAATGGCCACATTTTAAGACAGCTTCAGAGGGAGAGCCACTTAATTCCTGCTGGCAACATTTCTGTCCTTGGGGAAGGAGGAAGCCCTGTCTCGTCCTTGTACTGCTCCCCAACCCCTCACCCCTCCTGGCTGTGATAAATGAGGGAAAGAGGCCTTCTGGTGCCAGCTTACCCTTCTGAGGTTGTGTATTAACTGCAGTCTAGTCAGTTTCCAAAGCCCAGTCATTAAAGTGATCCTAGGCACCTGCTGGAAATTTTTCTGAGATACTTTACAGGAGGTCACCATTATGCAAGGTTTAGTGTAATCAAGGAATAAGGTCAAAATTCAAAGGTAAATACCAGGTTTAGAACTATCACTTGGAGATAGACAGGAATGATGACAGTTTCAAATCAGATTCAGGTGTTTTCTTTTAATCCCTGTAATGAATGCAGATAGATATTATTGTCCCCATTCCAAAGATTAGGAAGGATCTTAAATCTGAGAAAACTCTAGTGACTTCCCCAGGAATATATGGCTAGTGGGTGACAGGTCCTTGAAGACAGCCCTCCAGACATCCAGCCTCCTACCCCCGTGCTTCCCCAGTGCCTTCCATGTGTATTCTGTGTGCTGCTTTCCTGTATGTACTTAACCTGCCTGCTTGCCCATGTGGCATTTTGAGCATCCTTCCTCTCTTAAGTGTCCACTGCTTTTATGCTGATGGGACTCGCTTGCAGGAGTTGTGCTGGTCCTCGATAAGAACCTCTTGATGACTGGAGGCATAAGTGAATGAGTCATGGTTCCCCGTGTGGGACAAAACCACAAACACAAAGTGAACCCCATGAATGACTCAGCTGTCCTGCCATGTGTGAGCAGAGGCCCTGGGCCTTGCCAGGATGGAAGGAGATGCCCTGCATGGTAGGCAACCCAGGCCTCTGTCCCTGGCAGATGGTGTTGAATGAGAGTCAGCAGTTTGTGTTGCGCACTGGTCCTTCAGAGGAGGGGCTCCCTTAAAAGAGGCTTGGTGACCTGACCTGGTGGGCACTTCCTGGGTTTTTATCGTGGGAAGCAGGCTTTGGGTCACTGGCCCTTTCCCCCAAGATGTGGGTGCCCAGCAGACCACCACCATGAGCAGGATTTGGGTACCTGCTGACTGTCCACTGTCCAGCACGGGGCCACTACAGAATCCCAGGGGCTTAGTGTCCGGTGGCTGATGGACTGTGTGCTGAATTGTTACATTAGTGTCCTGGTGTTACGTAGAAAGAGCCAGTGCATGAGAGGAGTGCGGTTCTCAGTTGAGGGAGCCTTGGTTTATATTGATTAGATTGGGAAGGTGGGTCTTAATACGGAGGTAGGCTTGTTGGTGTAAACTGGGCTTGAGAGCCATAGTTCTTGAAACAGTGTTGTAGCCACCGCTCTGCAGCTGCGCCTGTCTGGAGGTGCTGTCCCTGTGTCTCCTAAGGTGATAATCCAAATGGAAAAATCAAAACAAACAGGCTCACTTAGGGGCTGGCCGGGTCGTGTCTGCAGAACTCATTTTTTAACGAGGCCCTGTTTTGGACTGTTGTTCCTAAGGAAAGGGAGTGTCAAGAGGGCAAAAGTGTTAGATTTGTTGAACCCTACAAGCCCACTGATGCCCCTTCTGGTGGACATGTGGATTTGACTGTGAAAATTTGCTAAGGTTTTTCTAGACTTTTCCTAGAATAAAGCTATATTTATCCACTTCTGATTCTTTCCTCATCTTAACAATTAAATGCAAGTGGATACTTTTGAGTTATTTTCTATGGAGATCAACATCTGTGTCCTTCCCTCATTCCTTCCTTCCATTTTAAAAAATATTCTCCCTTTAGTTCAGTTGAGAAAAGGGTTGATTTCAAATTCCTGGACCTAGATATGACAGCTCATATCTTAGTCCTAAGAACTTGAAAAATCACATGAAACCATTATAATGTATTGCTGGGAGGAGTTAGCAAAAATATAGTGCTTTGGTTTCTAAAAGTTGACTTTGTGCTGGGTCCATTATTCTCAACTGTTTCCTATCTTTATGCATATAGAAACTGCACACCAGGGACATAGGTGTGGCTGCTGGTGGACAGAGGCGGGCAACTGGGTGGCTCTGGCCTCTCTGGCCTAATGTGGCCCTTGGGACACTGCAGCCGCTCACTTTTAACTCATCGTACTGGGGGCGGAATTCTGTGCACAAGCCCAGTTAGCTAAGGGTCCATTTGGTTCCCAGCTTGTGCCTGATTGATCTCAGGTGGTGAAATAAGAGAAGAAGAGAACAGGAGAGAGAGGGAAAGGGGGAGGAGAGAAAAACTGTTTCATGTAGCAGTGACAACAACAGCAACTAATATGTGTCACCGCTGGTCTTGTGCTAAGGGTAATAGAGGCTTAATTTTTATAACATCCCGCTGAGGGAAGTACTGTTCTTCTCCCAACTGCGCTGTGACTGAGAGAGGGTTAAGTGGTGGCTTGGCGGCATGTGCATGCAGGTTCTCATGCCGCCACCCCGCCTGCTTCCGATGCCCAGAAATGTATGTCTGTAGTCTGATGGGTCCAACAGATTAGAAGCACATAAGCTGAGAAAGTCCACTAATTCAGAGTTTGTGATAAAACGTGTAACTTTTGGCCCTGGCCATTGTGGCTTAGTTGGAGCATCATCCCAGGCACCAAAAGGTTGCGGGTTCGGTCCCCAGTTGGGGCCCATGCAAAAGGCAACCAATCAGTGTTTCTCTCCCTCTCTTCCCCTCTGCAATCAGTGAGCATGTCCTGGGGTGAGCATTAAAAAAAAAAAATTAAATTTTGTTTGTCCATGAAAAAGCAGTCTGTGAAATTAATAATTAAACAAGATAGTTTCAAGAAGACTTTTAGGGTTTATGATTCCGTACTTAAAAATATGCTTTTCCTGATTGCAAAAGTAATACGTGTTTATTGTAATAAAAATAGAAACATTTCTTTTTTTAATACAGGAGAAAACAAATATCTGTAATCCTGCCACATAGTGAGAGCGCTTTACCCTGCGTTGGTGTGTGTCTTTCCAGGCTGTTCAGTTAATAGCCGGTATTGGCTGTCATATTGTCTTAGTTTGTGGTAGAAGAGACTGGGGTATAGGCAGAGTGTAGCTCTTTAAGAATGTTTACATGTTCCTCTTTCCCCAAGATAAAGTGCTCCTTTTTCTTCAAATCAGCTAGTAAACATCCACTGATATTTTAATCTCTATTAGTGATACATTTGCAAAAATATATGAAAAAAGTGATAAAGGAATGAACATACCATGACCCATTTGAAAAAATAGGTATTTACTGGGAAAAAACGTATATAAATATGTTAGTGTTGTACAGGTATTCTACCATAGTGTTAATACTGTCGACCTTTTGGTAGTGAGATGTAGGACATATTTGACTTCCTTTGGTATAACTCTGTAGTCTTCAGGTTTGTTTACAAGTATGCACATTTCACACAATGAAAACAAAATGGCCGTTTTCATTTTGGAATGAAAAGAAGGACGATTTCTGACATGTTTTAAGTGCAGAACACTGGAAATGTCAAAGCGTACATGCAGACTGCAGAATGAAACACATCTCCCTTCCTCTGCTCCTGTTCCAGGAAGGCGTGGAAGTGCGAGTGGCGAGAATCTTCAACACCTTTGGGCCGCGCATGCACATGAATGACGGGAGGGTCGTCAGCAACTTCATCCTGCAGGCGCTCCAGGGGGAGCCGCTCACGGTACGAGCCAGCCTCAGTGGGCCAAAAAAAAAAAAAGAAAAGAAAAAAAGAAAAATTGTGAACCACCAATAAGTGATTAAGTGCAGGCTGACTCAGGGAGTCACACTTCTGAAGCTGCCACTTGGTGTTTCTATGTGTCCCTACCACCCTTAAGTCACCAGGAGGGGAGGCACATGTGTAGAATCCAGGGAGGAATGACTAGTGTAACTTGGGTCTCCTTGCTTTTGGAGCCCATGGGTAACTTTGAGCCATAGGCTGCAGGCTTGGTCCATGCTACCCAGACCTTAGGGTCTGCCTGTCTTGGCCGCCCAACCTTCAAAGACCTTTCCTGATATTTTCTTGTCCTGCTGGCTATAGTCGGGGGGGCGTATTTATACTCGGTGTCCCTCGTGTGGCTGAGAAAGGGAGGTGTATCTGGGTCAGTTTCAGCAGTTTTCTTGGCAACCCCTGCCAATGGCTGTCTACCTGGGAGGCGTCTGGAGCCTAGTGGCCACCAGGTGCTCTGGGGTCCGTGGTTTTAAGTGCGTGGTGAGGACTAGGCCCCACTGCTTGGTGCCCTCAGAGACAACCCCTGTGGAGTCAGTGTGTGCTGCTTGTTCCACACATGTCCCACTGTTCCCTGTCACCTCCCTTGCAGAGGAGCACTCTTAGCCTGCCAGGGGGTTTGCAGATTAATTCATTTGGTTTTCTTCAATTTTGTTAAATCCTCAGTACTCTCTCTCTTCCCGCATCTCTTTCCTCCTGCCTTTCCTCCTCCTCTTCCTGTCTCTGCTTCTTTGCTCTTCACCCTGTGGCCTTCTTTGAGAGCTCAGTACTTGGGTCTCCAGACTAGAGAAGCTTCTTGGTTCTCCAAAAATTCTGCAGGACAGTTTGTTTATCAGCTGAGTGTATTCCAGGGGAAAGTTATAGCTATATGGACATTTGAGTCTGTCTATCCATCTATCCATCTCTCCCTTCCTCTAGCTATCTCTCAATAGAGAGAGGAAGTTACTGTTTCTCTTCTTTGATCTTTCTCTATTCACTCATTTAGTGCTCACAATAAATCTATGGGGTGCAGGTGATATTACTACTCCTATTATCCAGATGAGGGGACAGAAGCACAGAGGTTAGATAAATTGTCCACGCTTACATGGCCCAATGGTGGCAGCTGCATCTCAATCCAGAGCCTCTTGCTCTTAGTCACTGTTCTCCATGGTGTTCAACTCTTCTTAGATGTGTTTGCTGCACCATTACCGATTTTGACAGTTTAAAACCAGGGCATTATACATTTTCCAGGTGAGTTTTGCTTCACAAATTATAGGGAAGAGGTGAACCCAGGCCCCAGCCTGAGGTGCAGATGCTCCTGCCTGCTGTCCTGCCGCCACGCTCAGTAAACACCAGCTCCACCTCTGCCTTGGTGCCTGAGGACAGGCACGTTGTGGTCACACTCAGTCCTCTTTCTTTCACACCACACACCATCAGACCCACCAGCACATCCTAGTGGCCTTGTCCTAAGTAGATCCAGATGCCTTCTCACCCCTTCTCCCTCTGCCCCTGGTCAATGCCTCCATCCACTCTCATTTTATTGTTGTGGCCTCTTAACCTGTCTTCTGTCAAGCACTCTCAGCCCAGCAGCCAGAGGGAGCCTTGAAAGAGAGGTCAGAAACTCCAAACGACTTTTCCTCTCCCCTTCCCTGCACACTCAGCCTAACCCCCACTCTGCTCTGCAACCTGAGTCATTTGCTCCTGCCCCCCTGGGAGTGCTTTTCTTCCAGGCCATCCCCCCTTGCAGCTGTCACCTCATTTGGGCATCTCTTTTGGATCATTGTATACATAGTGGCACCCACCTATCACTATGCTCCTCCTAACCATGCTTTTTATTGTTTTCATTGCACTTAATCACCAACTGAAATGTTAATTTTCTAGCCCCCAGTCTCTCTTTGATACTAGGAACTTTGGTTCAGTCATGTCTGTGTCCCTGCTCCTGGAAGAGCACCTGGCTTGCAGGTGGCATGGGATAGTGTGGTTGAATTAATGATTGGGTTTCTAGTTGCTGCCTTTCTTTGTGGTTAACCCAAGTGGCTCAGTGACTTGTTCTGGAAGCTAGTGGTCATAGTGCTTCTACCAGGTGTAGCTCATCCTCATTCCCTTCTGCCTGCTGCTGGGTTCCAAGCTTCTCATATACTGAGCCCTTCAGTTCAGCTGGTCTATTGAGAATTACTCACCTTCAGGGGCACTCCTGGTGCCTTTTTTAGCCACTGCTCTCAGTAACTCTCTTCACATCACGAGATCAGAGCTGCTTTATTTGCAGAGCAAAAACTGTTCAAAGCTGCTGAGAAAGAACTTACTGACTTACTGTCTCCTGGGCAGCAGCCAGGTCCCAAGTGTCAGGTGGGAGAGCAAGTCCCTGGCATGCCCTGGGAATGCACCCTTTGTGGGAGAGAGAATGACTCGTGTCATCTTTATGCCATGCAAGCTTCTGGGCTATTGACAGAACAGAAGGGTGGCTGGTGCTGTTCAGGACTGCAGTGAGTCCAAAACATGCCAGGTTTAGTCTTTTCTAGACACCTTTGGTGGCCAGAAGCCCCAGGGAGGCCTTTCAGATGTGTTTGTTTCCTTGGTCACCCAGAATTCTGTTTCCCTCCACTGTTGATGAAGTCCTAGATTCCTTTTCTGTTCAGTTGAGGTAGCATCTCTTGCTTTTGTCACATGCTTCTAGGGAGAAGTCGTGATTCTCTCCATCCGGCCCACCCTTGGGAACACTTTGTTTGCTAAGCAAGGAGAACAAGGAGTTGTGTCCATCCTCGTTTCATTTCTCGTGTTTCCAGCAAGTCATTTCTAAGTCTAAAGACCTCTTCATGGATAGTGGAGAGCACCTTGATATCTTTTTTCTCTTTTCCAATCTGGGCTAATGTAATAATTTAACCTTCCGGCTTTTTTTTTTTTTTTGAAGCCCCTTGTTTTCTTATCCCTATGCAAATTTTATTCTTTGGGCATGTCTGAGTGTCGGGTCACTGCTGTACTGGATGCCTCTAAGGGTAACTTGGGAGTACAGGCACACCTTGGAGGTACTGCTGGTCGGTTCAGACCACCACAGGAAAGCAAGTATCACAGTAAAGTGAGTTACATAAATTTGGGGGTTTCCAGTGCATATTGAAGTTATATTTATACTACACTGTAGTCTTTAAGTGTGTAAGAGCATTGTCTTAAAAAACAATGCATATACCTTCATAAAAAAATACTTTACTGCTAAAAAATGCTAACTATTATCTGTGCCTTCAGAAAATCCTAACCTTTTTGCTGGTGGAGAGTCTTGCCTCAATGTTGATGGCTGCCGACTGATGAGGATGGTGTTCACTGAAAGCTGGAATGGCTGTGATAGTTTCTTAAAATAAGACAACAGTGAGGTTTGCCATATCCGTTGGCTCTTCCTTTCATGAATGATTGCTCTGTAGCAAGGGATGTTGTTGAATAACATTTTATCCACAGTAGAACTTCTTTCAAAATTGGAGTCAATTCTCTCACACCCTGCTGCTGTTCTGTCAGGTCAGATTATATAATATTCAAAACTCTTTTCTTGTCATTTTAACAAACTTTATAACATCTTCACCAGGAGTAGATTCCATCTAAAGAAACCACTTAGTTTACTTGTCCATGAGAAACAACCCCTCACCTATTAAAATTTTATTACGAGACTGCAGCAATGCAGTGACATCTCTAGGCTAAACTTCTAATTCTGGTTCTCTTGCTGTGTCCACTATATCTGTCATTACTTCCTCCATTGAAGTCTTGAACCCCTCAAAGTCATCAAAAAAAACTCTCTGATCCATGAGGGCTGGAATCAGCTTCCTCCATATTCCTGTTGATGAAGATATTTTGACTTCTTCCCATGAAACACAAATGTTCTTAATGGCATCTAGAATGGTGAATCCTTTCCAGAGATTCTTGATTTACTCTGACAAGATCCATCAGAGAAATCACTGTCTATGGCAGCTATAGCCTTATGAAATGTATTTCTTAAATAATAAGACTTTAAAGTCAAAATTACTCCTTGATCCATGGGCTGCAGAATGGGTGTTGTGTTAGCAGGTATGAAAGCAACAACTTCTTGTTTATATTCACCTTGGGTGACCAGGTGCACTGTCAGTGAGCAGTGATATTTTGAAAGGAATCTTTTCCTGAGCAGTAGTTCTCAACAGTGGGCTTAAAATATTCAGTAATTCATGCTGTAAATGGATATGCTGTCATCTAGGCTTTGTTCCATTTATGCAGCACAGGCAGAGTAGATTTAGCATCATTTTTAAGGGCCGTAGGATTTTTGGAATGGTAAATGAGCTTCAGATAGAGTCACCAGCTGCATTAATGCCTAAGAGGAGAGTCAGCCTGTCCTTTGAGGCTTTGAAGCCAGGCATTGACTCGTCTCTAGCTATAAAAGTCTGAGATGGCATCTTCTTTCAATACAAGGGAGGACCCCCCAAAAACTTGGAAATTATTTATAAAAAATTGTGTATTTATTCTTACATGTTTAAACTTTAGTCACCTTCAAAGTACTCTCCATTTGGTGCAATATACCTATTGAGACTTTTTTCCACTGCTCAAAACAGTTTTTGAACATGTCAATTTTGATGACTTTTAGTGCTTCTGCCTTTTTTTGTTTCACCTCTTCCACATAGGTAAAATGTTTTCCTTTGAGGACTTTTTTCATCCAGGGAAACAAAAAAAAAAAAGTCACTCGGGGTGAGACTGGGTGAGTAGAGAGAGTGGAGCATGGGGTGAAGCCGTTTTTGGTCAAGAACTGCTGATCATTCAGCACAGTGTGGGCAGGTGTGCTCCTAAATCACCCATCATGAAATAGGCAAACGCATTGAAAGTCTTCCAAAAATATTCTCTGAAGCTGAAGGCAGCCTCTCACAATGACACTGACTGGTATAGTGATACAGATTGGTTCCTAGAACATTCACCTAGTGGAAGTAGTCTGTACTATGAGGGGCCTGCCCTCCAGAAGACAATCCTGGCTGTTTCGTCTACATCAACAGTCTGTTATTTAGTGTAGCCACCTTTGTTAATTATCTTCTGTAGAACTTGCTGCAGCTTCTATTTCCACATTTGATGCTTTACCTTGCACTTTTATGTTGCAGAGGTGGCTTCTTTCCTTAAACGTCATGAATCAACCTCTACTAGCTTCATACTTTTCTTCACTTTATCAATTAAGTATGCTGTCTTATATGGGTGCCCCAAAGCAATTATAATATTAATATCAAAGATCACTTTTCACAGATCACCATAACAAATATAATAAAGATGAAAATTTTGAAATATAGCAAGAATTATCAAAATGTAACACAGAGACACAAAGTAACAAATACTGTTGGAAAAAATGGCACTTGATAGACTTGCTTGATGCCAGGTTGCTGCAGACCTTCAATTTGTAAAACAAACAAACAAACAAACAAAAAAAACCCCATAACAGTGAAAACCCCGCAGTAGCTATGAAGCACAATAAAATGAAGTATACCAGTCTGTATATTGCTAAGTTCCACAGGTCCTATACAGAAACTGTATTCTAAGTTGAATCATACAGAAGCGCAGAAAATGTTTTCTTCCAGTTTAGAAAGTTTAGAGAATAGATGAGTGTGGTTGAGCTGGAACTGGCTTATTAAGTTTATTTAGCTTAAGTTTTTTAAAAATTGATTTTAGTTCATAATTCATTCAGTTAAAACGCAAACATGCAGACCTCTTCAGAGTAAAGTTTGAGTCTGCTGTGCCTCCTGGATATATTTATTCAGTTTGCAGGTGAGAAAATAGCTTCACTGAGGTGGATTTTTCCAGGACAGCCCAGATGTGGCAGATTTAGGGTTTGAGTCTAGGTCTATGTCATTTTATTTTGCTTTTTATTTTTTTAAAATTTAATTTATTGGGGTGACATTGGTTCGCAAAGCATATAGGTTTCCAGTGTACAACTCAATAAAACATCATCTGCACACTGCAAACAAATGGAGCATGAGGCCTCTCCCTCCCACCACTTTTGTCTTCTACCCAGAGTCTTCTGAGTGGTTCCCAACCTTAGCCAACATTAGGATGACCTAGTGAACTAGTTGTAAAAATACCAGGATGCTGGTCTCCTGGCAGAGGTTCTTTGGCTTGGTGTTGTAGAGTGCCCCGCTGTCCTAATGGGCAGCCCAGTGGAGGACCAGGTGAGATGTACTGGTTTGTTGGATCCTGTCTCAGAACCTGACATAATGCCTGACACATCCTAGGACTCTGATGAAAGCTGACTCCTTGTGATGCTGTCTTTTGAGGAAAAACTTTACATGTGTAAAATACACACACGCATAAGTGTATCTGCCACCTTCTCACCATTGGGCATAATTTTGAAGCACACAATGTGAGGCTTAACTGTCGGTTTCCTCCTAGGTGTATGGATCCGGGTCACAGACCAGGGCTTTCCAGTACGTCAGGTGAGCCAGCTGGCCTTCGCGGTGATTCCAGCAAGGCTGGTGCAGACCGAACAGGTGGTGTCTGTTTTATATAGTAATTGTCTTTACAACTCTAACAGCATGATATGGTGCAAAGTTCACTGTAATTTTAAGATGGGAAAGTTCTTTCAGTTATCTGTTTAAAGTTGAAAGTTTACAGGCATGCTCTTGACTTACCACCCATATGCTAACCCTTTACTGCCACCTAGTGTTTCATAGGTAAACTTGCTCAACTTCAGGTAACGATTTCAGTTCAGGCCAACTTAACATTTGGCCTTCACCCTCATGAAAACTACAGATCCCAAAACCTAACCCATTTTACACATGGCTTTCTGGGGTGGATGCAGTTGTCCTCATTAAGGCAAAGATGAGGTAGTGTTCTGCTGTTGTCGAATTTTGTACTGAAACTAAATTTCTCACGTGGGGATTTTCATTGTCTTCTTTGTATCCTAGTTTTTGTTGGTCAGTTCAGTTGGTGACTAATTTTAAAATGCAGTTTGGGCTCTGAGAGAAGAGTTACCATATAAACAATTACATAGACCCAAATAATTTGCACATGACACAGGTACTGAGAATTCTGTGTAAGTTTGTGGTATCTGAAATTATAAAATCCATTTCTGTATATTTTCACTTTTCAGTGCAAATACCTGGAATGCCTATCAGCCAGAAAATGCTATTCCTGGTGTCCTGAGGCCATTGCAGGGTTGCTGTAGGGGTGAAGAGGTGGCAGTGGGAGTGCAGGTCTGGGCAGCCCCCCGACCCCGCCTCAGCCAGAGTGATCCCCTAGACTTGTCTGTATGAGAGTCCAGGGTAGAAGTCTCTTTGGGAAATGAAACTGCTGCGGGGTGGGGTGGGGGGACTTAAAAACAACCGGTATAGATTTTTTCTGAAAGTGTTTGTGAATTTTCACTATTAGTCCAAAAGAAAGCTGTGATTAAACATATATAACAGTCTGTGTTCCCTCCCTACCCCAATCCCCACCACTCATTAGTGTCTTGTCCGGCAGGACACAAAGCCTGGGAGTACGTACTGGGCCCACGTCGTTGCCCAAGTACCCTGAGAAGGGGTTTTACCAGGAAATGGCAGCTGTCCCTCCTTCAGGACTGTTTTCATTTCAGAGCCCCTAACCCAGGCACCATGTGCTCAAGAGAAAAGGATCATGGCACATTTCTGTATGGAGACCATATTAATTGGACTTCTATGTATCGATTACCATCTTTTCATAATATGTTCTCACCCCACCCTCTGTCGACACCCCCTCCCCATCTGCCCCTCATTGGTGTCCCCCCCACTTCTCCAGCTGTCACATGCCATGAAATATTGGTGAGGCTGGGTAAAAGGGAACCCTTTCTTACTATTCTCATTATTTCAAAGGCATCAGATATGAAACTGATTGAAAATAGCCTCAGATACTTTTGTTTTTGTCAGTGATTAAAATATTTTGAGAAGTTTTAGTTATTTAAGACTTAGCTAAGAAAGTTGACTTACCAAAGATTTGCTTCTTACAATAAGCTATTTTTTAGAAACTGAGAACCTTTTTACTCCACAATTAAAAATGCAGTATATCTGAATCTGCAGTTACTGTACTTAAGCAACTGTTTCTAAAATTTATGATTGCCTTAAAACCGCAGCGTATGGTTCTGAGGTCTAGGTCATGCACATTGGCATCCTGACATGATTGTGTTTGATACTTTCATTGTCAGGTTACGTCCTCATCCACATAACAAAGGCATGCTTTGTTGTTTTTTTTTAAAGTCGCTTTGTCAAAATGACACTTTTAAAGAACTTCAGGTTAAATGAGCGTAATCCATGCAATTTTGACCTTAAAAGTTGCCAGTTTATTCCACATAAGATGCATGACCTTCCCCTTCTGATCCCCCATTGAGTTTGATTGCGTAACAGTCAGTCATTTCCAGCTTAATATGGACCCCACTCCCCTCAGTTTTAGTGTTAAAAAGGATTGCAGGCTATTGAATGGCAGCTTTTAGTGTCTCTTTACAAATGCACGAGATGTATGCTGTAAGAGAATGTGCTGGGATGTAACAATTTCTGCCATAATGATGAAGTGACTTTTTGTCAGTTTCTAGAAATGACAAATCATCCAAAGTCAGCTGTATTTGCATTTGTGCTTGAATCTGAGAACAGAATAGACTTATGGCATGTTTATACAAAATACCCATTTGTTGTAAACAAAAATCTAGAAAATAGTTTGTTTTCTAAGTACCCCGCCCCCCCCCAAAATTGTTTTTCAATTAAACGAAAAGCAAAAACTGAGGTTTTCTTTTATAAGTTTACCATAGTAACCTGCTCCTTTCTGGTAATGACTGAGGAGGAAGAGGGAGAGGTTTCCAAACAGACTTCATTTGGACCACCAAGCTGAATTTTAAAAGTCTTCTAGGAACTATAGCTGATGAAAATAGACTTAGAGAAAGTACTGGTGTATAGCAGTGAGGTGTCATTTTTACGAAGTAACTTTTTTTTAACAGAGCCACACTTTAAAGCTTCTGAAAATAAGAAACAAACCTTGGTAAGGGAAAATTTGCTTACTTATCTTCACTTTCATGGCCCAATCACGATTCATTTGATACATCCAGATACTTCTAACCGTTCATACGAGGTGTTTTGGGCGGGGGTTGCTGAATTGAAGATTGAGGGAGTTGGCGAGTGCTCTGGTTTATTTCAACACTTAATGTTGTTGGCTTTATCTGTGCTTTGCTCCTGTGGGAATTATCTACATGAGTTCGTACGTTTCAGTGAATCTTATTTTTTGAAATCATCTGCTTTTCTATGGGCCAGCTACCAGGGTCCCCATGTCACATGGACTTCCTTCAGAAATTTGCATCAACTCCATCCTTTTTGAGTGTGTGCCCATTTTAATTTATTTTGTTTTGTAATTATTAACAGATTTCAGAAATTTACAAAATAGAGCACTCAACCCCATTACTCAGCTACCGTCCTGTTTAGCCACCTGCAGCCTACCCACTGAAAGCAAATTCCACAGGTCCTCTCATTTCATCCATAAGTACTTCAGCATTCTCAAAACCCTCTTATTTGCAGGATTTTATTTTGACATCCAGTTTTCCATTTGGGTTTTGGTTTTCCCCTGGGATGTGGGTTGTGTCTGATGCTCAGCACCTGCTTGCTGGGCAGAAGGCACCTGAGCTGGCCTTCCCTTCTCTCCTAGTGACCTGGTGAATGGCCTGGTGGCTCTCATGAACAGCAACGTCAGCAGCCCTGTCAACCTGGTGAGTACGTCCTCTCTTCCCACTATCCCAAAATAGGTCACAGGCTCACTCATTCTTTGTGAAACCATAAAAAGCATCAGGTTTTGCTTTAGTTGCTATAGCACACTTAGGGCATGGGATGTTTGTTGCTTGTTGAATATTAGAGAGAAAAAATACAAAATAAAATAAAGTAAGAGGTTATAAAGAAGAAAAGTGTCTGCAAAACATGGATGAATAATGTAATAAACACTAAACCAACTCTGTCTGCCTAAAAATTTGTAAAGTGTTTTGGTAGTGGGAGATGGACTTTTTTTGTGTGCATCCCCTTCACCATCATTTAACATGCAGATCTTTAGGAGATTTGATTAAATGAAACTTGAGAAGATGGAAGTGGTTAAGACAGTTTTTCAGATACCTCTGTAATTCAGCCACATAGACCACCTTTGTGCTCCTACATCGCTTCCCACAGTCCCAGAATCTTGGTGTCGGGAGGACTGTAAAGTCATTTTGCCTGGCTTTAACCACATCTAGTGCTCGTGAACTTGGTTCCTCAAAAGAATTCATTCTGTCTTTGGCCAGTACTGGCTGACAAAGTTTTTTTTTTTTTATATTTAGGACTAAAATCTCATTCTCTGCCCACCCATTTGCTGGCCGGCGTCATTCAGAGCTGGTCTGGTGCTTCTACAGTACGATAACTTTCTAAGCACTTAAAGGGTGATGTCATACCGCACGTGCGAGCGCGCACCGCCCCCCCCCCCCGCCCCCACTCCCAGCCAGTGTTTCTTTGATGTGCTTTTGAAGACACATGCAACTAAAAAGAGAATGAGAGATGTGTTATGAGCCTCAGTTCATTTCAGGTATTTACGGACCTGACACTGTGTGAAGGACACTCACCCTTACCCCTGTGTTTTCTCTACAAGCTCTTTAAGTTGTGTGTCCTCAGTCAACTCTTTTCTTTAGAAACCGTATTCCTTCTTTCCTCTTTGGGGGGAGCTTTTGTACAGGAACATTAGGAACTCCCATCTCTTGTAGAAACTTATTTTCCTTAAAATCTGAAGACTGTCTGCCAGTACTGATAAAGATGGGGCCACTTTCTCCCAGACTCCTGTCACTCTGCTATACTAGTCAGCCCTTACTTTGTGCTCATAATTAGGCCCAGTGTCCCTTCCTGCCTCTTTTACCTTCCAGCTTCAGTCTACACCAGGACTGGGAATGTAGAGGATTTAGAATATATAACTGCCAGACTTTATGGTGGTCTCTTATGATGGGGAGTGGCACATCAGAGTGGGAGCTGGGGAAGGGAAGAGGGGCAGTAGTTGCTGCAGTGTGTGATGGAAGGAAGAAAAGGAGAAAACAATTTTCCTTAAAACCCCCCGAGTTCAGTTTACTTTATAAACCGCATCATGTCTTTCCCTCTAGCTTGCCCAGAGCCCCCATCTGTGAGTGCATTTCATTTCTATCACGGCTTTTTATGTGTGAGTTTGCAAGTCCTTTATTACTCAAGTTGTTTACACAGTGCACCCACACAGAAAGAAATTGTCTTAGGAGAGCTAATTTTGCAAAGTCAAACTTGTGCAAAGTGACACTGCAATTAGATATGGAAGTTGTCTGTTATGGTGACTCGGCCAGAGAATGTGTATTTCACATTAGATACTCTTGACCGTGCTGAACGGTGTTCTTGTACCAGACGTTTCGTCTAGCGGAGGTGAAGTTCAGCACTCTGCCATGTGGAGTAGCCATCATCTGGAACAATTAAGCGCCCAAGGAAACAGGAGGCAGGGGCCTGAGGACTTCAGGAGATGCGAGGGTTGGCCCAGGACACTTTTGAAGACATGCACGTGTGGGGGTGGGGTGGTGGGTCTACTTTTGCAGTTACACTTTTAACCAGAACCTGTTTCTTCCTTAGGGGAACCCAGAAGAACACACAATCCTAGAGTTTGCTCAGTTAATTAAAAACCTCGTTGGTAAGTAGGACAAATGCCTTCCTGAGTGAAACCGCCTGCCCTGTCAGTTAAAACACCCTGACTGGGAAATGTGTAATTAATGCAAGCCAGTTGAATTCGATAAAAAGCAGAACTCTCTCAGGAGCACTTAATTGTTTTCTGTTTCCTTAATTAAGAAGCAGAAAGATAAAGACCAAGTGGGGCTGGGGAAAGAGGTGTATTTCGTTTACCTTTGCAATCGCAGGTCTGTGTGCAGCAGGAAGTTTAGCTGTGTTCCCAGTGCTTGAGACTTGATGATGTGCGATCATCCTGCCCAGATGACAGCTGTTTGATTCTCAGACACTGGCAGTGCCGAGTATAGAATTTTGGAGCGTGGGGGAGAGCCATGCCAGCTGTGTTTCTGACGGAATCTGTCTGCCGTGTCATGTTCTGTGTTCGGCCCTGTGGCTAGCCTGCCATGAGGTTTGGAGGCTGTGTACATAGACACTGAGTGGCCCAGTCGTGGGTCTGCTTTTCAGCCATAGAAGCTTGTGATTTTTCAACTAGCTCTTGGTTAGCAGACATGCCCTGGGTGTCACCTGTGTCTTGTCATCAGACTGGAGCTCTGGGAAATCTGGCTCTTGCCGGGTATCTGTTTTCCAGTATTGATTGGGAAATTTGAATCAAGACAATACCAGATTGGACTGTAGTTGGCTAGACTGGGAATGAACATGATGTAGTGTGTTCTGAAGTAACTGTCACACCCTGCACGTAGCTGGGTGGAGTCTTCAGGGTTGTCCTTCCTCGCATTGAGCTGTCATCTACCAGCATTGTTCTGATTCACTCAGCTGGGTGGGTTGTCCTGGGCATTGACCGTCAGGTGCTCAGTGAGGGCAGCAGCACTGTAGAGAATTGCACACTGCACTTAACCACGTACCACATTAGCCATTTAGGACTTGTGGTCAATGCTGTGTTAGCTGATAGTGGGTGGGCTGCCTTGAAGCCGGCAGTACAGGTCTGGCCCTCGAGTTTCCCTCAGGCCTGTAGAGGCAGAGTAACCTGCCCCTCACCAAGCTCTCATGGGGACAGAAGTACAGTCCCTTGGGCAGCTGGATGACTCCAGGAGAGATGTGTCATGCAACCTGTATCCTATTCACTGCAGAGATAGGAGTTTACTTTGGCCTATCTGGTGAAACATCACAGCCCTAGTGGTTTGTGATGCTCTCTTACCTTTTTTTTTTCTCTTTTCTAAACAACTCAGGTAGTGGAAGTGAAATTCAGTTTCTCTCTGAAGCCCAGGATGACCCGCAGAAAAGAAAACCAGACATCAAAAAGGCGAAGTTGATGCTAGGGTGGGAGCCTGTGGTAAGTGTGGAGGAGTTGTCACTTTGGGGAGAAAGGTCTCTCCTTTCCCACATCTGTGTCCTCACAGACGCTGACCATTGCTGGGTAGCCCCTGGTGGAGCAACGTGGGCTTAAACATCTGGGCAGACTAGATGTAGGGTTTTCTTTAGGCCATTACATGCTTCTCATATCGTGTGTCTCATTCTCTGTTCCTGGAAAAATGGCCTAGGCTTACTGAGGTCTCTGCTTTCATAAAATCACACACACACACGTACATACAGCTTCATCCATGAAAGCAACATTGACGGTGGTGGCTGCATGCACTGTGGGCCTTGTGTAGCCCTGGTTGGCCTGCCTGTTTCCACATGGCCCAGGATGTCTTTGCACGTGCAGGATTGGGCAAGGTTGCTGTGAACCAGGGCAGGCAAATCCCACTGCTTCCCCTACAGGTGGAAAACCAAGTTGGAAGTGTGAGAGAAGTAAGGTGAGAAAAAAGGTGAACCTCCTTAGTCTAAGGTGATAGTTGCGCTTAGACTAAGACTTGTGTGGCCTGCAAGAAGCTGCAGAGTTCTTCCTCAGTCTAGAATGTCCATTCTCTTGTGGTGCATGTCCCCAGCACTGCACATACCTGTTGCATTTTTGCCCTTCAGGTCTCAGTTCAGAGGCCATCACCTTAGAGAGGCCTTCCTGGGCGACCACATAAAGGGGTGAGGTTGGTTCTGGAGATGTGGTTACCCATCTGTCATTTCTCTGCCACTCTCTCTTTGCTTCTCCACTTCCCCTTCCTTCTCCCCCCGGCTCCCAACCCATGGGCCTTGATAGAATTTGCACTTTTTGAGGGCTCATGTACAGCAGTAGCCCCAGCAGTTCCTGCTGAGCCTAGCACACAGCAGATGCTCAGTAAATGTAGATCCAGTATAGCTGTGGCCCTGTATGTTGCGGCTCCTCCATGTCAGGACACGGATACAGAGAGGAGGGGCATAGTCCACAGTTGTTTACCTTTAGAAAATATATGTAGTAGGGAATCAAAGGGAGGAAAAATAATTCTCCCTCTACCTTTCTCAGTTCTCAAGTGAGACTTCAGTAATAAAGATTAACAAGGGTAAAACAAGTTTATCAACATGTATACCTCATGTATACATGGGAGATGCCAGGGAAAAATGAGTAACTCAAAGAGGTGGCTTATAATTCGGGCTTAAATATCATCTTTGTAGGGTAAGAGGAGGGGAAATGTAGGCCTTTTAGGACAGAGTAAATGATTTTTAAGAAAGATGAATGAGCCCTTCCTCAGTTGGTTGCAGAGTCGTCCCATAAATCAAAAGGTTGCAGGTTCAGGGAAGAAGGAAAGAGGGGAGGGAAGAGGGAGCCCTTGAAAGAATAGATGGGAGATTAATGATAGTTTATGACAAAGTTTATCTAGTGACAACTTTAGTGTCCTGTCCTACAGTAAGTCAGTCCTCCCTGGTTGATAAAACTCCCTGGGAGGGATTTGTGACAATTGAGTTCTTTTTGGATGATTTGTCTTTAGGCAGAAAAGAGAAGTTCAGAGAAAGTCTCTCCCTGGATTTTCTGTTTTTCAATGGCCTACAGCTCAGAATCATCAGTGTGCCAAAGTGGCAGATTTTGGGTGGCATGTCCTGAACTCCTACAGTTATATTTTGGGGTGGTATATTCTGCTACCCTTCAGAGAACTAGAGAACTAAGTGAGTAGAAATGTAGAATGTTGAACCTTAAAGAGATGTGAGAATTCCAGTCCTGTCCTTAGTTTATCTTGTGATTTATAAGTCTAAGTCATCTGCTGAAGGCCACAGGAATTTGTTGAATGAAGTAAAAATATGATTATGCGCAGGCTTAATAAAATCTAATCTATAACAACACCAGCTGTACAGAACAAGTTATAGCCAGCACAGGTCTTCATATTTAGAAGGAATTTGTCATTGGTCGCTTTGTAAGTAGAACCTGTTTTAAACAAAATGTTTTGAAAAAAAATTAAATGCACATTCACTATATAGTAATTATTACTCATAACTTATGTGAAGTATGTGTACAGTGGGTATTTTTATTTGTCTGGAGTTAAATGTATAATATTCTAACATTTTGGGGTATAAGGCAACTGCCACTAGTTTTTCTTCCTACTAGTAGTTTAATTCAAATGAAAATTTTGAGAGATCTTATCCAAAGATGCTTTTAGTCATATGTTTTTAACAGCTTTGTTGAGATTGGCATACAGCAGACTGCCTATATTTAAAGTGTAAAACTTGATAAATTTTGACATGAAACCATTGCCACCAAGATAACAGACGTATCCTACTCCCTCTCTCTTCTCCCTTTGTTCTTTTAGTGGGCAGCTCATTTGATTTGTTTCCTGTTTGCTGCAGGGCTGCTCCAAGTTAAGATTGCTTAAAGGTCCCTCTCAGACTCAGCCTCTTAGGTCAGTGGGGGTAAAAGTACAAAGGGTCAGTGTCCCGTAGAATGAGGTATGCGGACCAGGTACAGATGCTTCCCAGAGTATCTTCCCTCCATGGAAGGTGCATGTGTGCATGATTTCAAAAGTGATCTTTGTGACTGATTCCAGCTGGAGTAGACTCCAAACCCACACGAAGTAGTTTGGATCTCAGGGGACTTAGAGCTCATTTTATGTCAGCTGGAGCATAAAATTTATCAAGTTTCTCCAGACATTCCAAAGGGCACTTGGGAAAGGTGACTGGCTTCTCCTGGTCAGCCCTATTGCCCTTGTGACCCACAAGTTGTGCTGTGACCTCAAGTTGGCACTTCTTCCTGTGAAGTCTGGGACAGTTTATTCTTCTTCAGTAGCCACCTAATTTCTCATTCTTCCTTTCTCTTTAAACAGGTCCCATTGGAAGAAGGTTTAAACAAAGCAATTCACTACTTCCGGAAAGAACTTGAGTACCAGGCAAATAATCAATACATCCCCAAACCAAAGCCTGCAAGAATTAAAAAAGGACGGACGCGCCATAACTGAAGACCTCCTTCTTGGGACCAGGACTCCCTGTGTCACACTGATAGGATGTATTTTTTTTTTCTTTTTTATTTTTCTTAAAGAGAGACTTAAACAGGTGTCATGAAGAACAAACTGGAATTTTATTCTGAAGCTTGCTTTAAAGAAATGGATGTGCCTAAAACTCCCCTCAAAAACCTGCAAATTTTGCCTTGCACTTTTTACCGTATTTTGCAATGTATAATGCGCATTTTTTGCCCAAATTTTTGAGGGAAAATAAGGATGAGCATTATACATGGGTATAATAATTGAATACCATGGGTGTAATATTCCCAAGTACAATGTGCACAAAAACGTGGGTGCACATTATACGTGGGAGTGCATTATACCCGGCAAAATACAGTAAATCAGTCTTTTTATGTAAAATAGCATAGCTGCATCTGTGTATTTTCGAGTTTTTTACCTTGCTGTGAGAGCATATGTTGTGACTGTCATTGACAGTTTTATTTACTGGTTTCTTTGTGAAGCTGAAGAGGAACATTAAATGGAGTGAAAATGCTGATTTTATTTATAAAACTGGTACCTATAAATGAGACATTTTACTATGCATAAAGAAAAAAAATAATAGTATTGTCAGGTGGATGGTGCACCGGCATTTATTCTTGGGATAGATGAAAGAATTCTGTTTGAGAGCTTTATGTTTCTTTTAATTCAGAATTTTTCCAAGGTCCAGTTTTTGGTTGCAAACTTGACTTTGAAATATTTCTGTTGGTTATCATGATTAAGGATATTTGAAATCACTACTGTGTTGTGCTGCATACTTGGGGTGGGGTGGGGTGGGAGACAAAGTTAAGATATTCTTGGTTACAGTGGTTAAATATGCTATTTTAATAAAATATTGGAACTCACTTTCAGTTTTAAAGGTTGGCTAGCTTTCTGCTTTCAGTAAAATATTGGAGAATTTAGTTTTTAAAATTCTGCAAACATCCATTTTGGTATAATAAGTAATTTGCTGACCGAATATTGAAAACATTTATATGCTTCTTGGCTGACTCTTTGAATGTATTGTGGAGAGATCTTCAGCTCTCATCCAGGGATACAATCATTGTGTGTCCTTTTGTGGTAACAAAGACCAGATGGAGAAAAAGAAGTGCCTGTGAACTAGAATTACTGAAAGAAAACTTTAGAGCTTTCGCTTTCATTAAGAATTCTTTCAAGATTTACTATTTAGATTTTTGTATTCCTTTTACAAGAGGAAGAACAATGTAAGTAAGTTAAAGCAGTACCTGTAGTTGTCTCTGTATGATATGGGCAAAACCTGAACTGGCACCAAGAAGATAAAAGCATTAAGCATTTGTCCAGAGTACTTGTTTTCATAACTAACCAAGATTTTGCTTATCCTTCAAAATCACCTTGAAGTATTCAGGGTCCGGCAGAAGCAAGGCCTGCTTGAGTTGGTAGGGTAATAATATGGGTGGAATAATTTATGGTTTTAATTTCTCAACATTTCACCTAAAATGTCATATGGTTTGCATGAGTATGATATTATGTTGCAGAATTACATGTTCTAATTTTGTAATAAAAAGGGGGCATTATTTGTGCAGGACCGTGTGTGTGTGTGTGTGTGTGTAGTATGTATGTATGTATGTGTGTGTGTGTGTGGTGTGGGTGTGTGGGTGTGGGTGTGTATATTTTTTAGTTGGAGATGTTTCTCCAATCAGAATCTCTGGGGCCAGCCAAAGGAAGTTGTGATTTTATTTATCATGCTCAATTCCTAGCAAGATTCTGGAACCAAAATTTGGTGCTAGATTGGATGTGGTGTGACAGGAAAACGAGAAGACTCAAGGATGGTTTCCTATTTTTGATTGTCATTATTTTGGCTGGAACTAAGTAATACACTATTCACTGAGCCCATGTGAACAGAACTAAGTTTATTCGGAAACTACTAATGGTGACCTGTACATTGAAGACAGAGCTTAGACAGGGAGGGAGGTGTATGGAGCTAAGGCTGTGTGGTGCAGGTTGGGAATGCTCCAGAGCCCCAGGGTCCAGAAGTCTTCTAACTTATTACTTGCTAACTCTGGAATGCTGCTGCGGGTTTCATTCTTCTGACTTTTTTCCCCGTGATTTTTATAAAATTTAGGGAACAAGTAAGAAAGGGGAGAGGGATTATGGGTAATAATTCATGGTCAGGGAAGGGGTAATACATCCAGAGAAATAATAGAAACTTCAAGTTGAGCATGTGAATGTGTCATGGAGACTGGATTTCATCTACACCCTTGTGGATATTAAGCTCAGTCCACGGGCCCCACATAGACTCCCGCACCATCGTGGCCATTCCATGAGTCCTGCTAGAGTCTTTCTTCACTGGTCCTGGTGCTGGATGAGCTGCCCTCTGGCTAGTGATTTTTAGTTATGTGTGAGCTTGACTTAGTTCTTACTAAAAAAGTTGTGTTAAGTTAAACGCAGGTCTGGCCAGGAGAGTGAATTACAATTTGGTCTCATAAGAGAACCAGGGAAATCTGGGAAGCCCTCAGTGATTTCCTGGGGCAAAAGAGCTGTGAGTTTTAAGGTTTTGATATGCATATTAAAGTGATCTGTGTGCTTTACCTAGACTTTCTTGGTGGTTGATTTTTACCTTTGATAGAAAACTGAAAAATGGCCTTGCCCTGAGACTGCTAACACAGTTTCCAGGGTGTGGGGGTGCACATTGCTTCAAAGATCCCGATAGGACTTTGTCATTATTGAGATTAGATTACCTGTTTTGTTTTTTTTCCATATTAAGCATTCTTATCTGTATCTTGTTTGTACCTTAGCCACATTGGGGAACAAGTGTCAGTTTTATCTATAGCTGTGCTGTAGGGAGGAAAAGAATGGGGATTCTATTATCAAGAATCTTAATTTTTATTCAGCCTTTAGGTGAGACAGTGCCTAGGGGGCTCACATCATTTCCCTTTCCCCAGGGCAGTTAGGCCCTGATGGAACTGCAGCAGGTTAGACCAGTTAACTAGTTTCTCCTGAGGGCAGGCCTTGCTATGCAGAACAAAGTACTGTGATGGAGTTCGGAATAGTTCCTTTTTCCCTCATGATGCTAGAAGCTTGAGATTTTTGTCTGTTCTTCACTGAAAACCAAGTTGAGCTTCTGGAGGTAAAACACAAAATTGTGGGGTTCCCCTATGACTGACTCCCCTGCATTTTTAAACTCAGACTTGTCCACACCAAGCCTCTGGCCATTTGTCAACTATAGTTCAGATTTTACTACCCTGGCACTAGTTCATGTGAAGGTTGCTAATCTGTAAATTGTGATTCTCTGTATTTACCTGTCAGTCTCCCCAATTTGAGGGACAGCAGTTTGTGTTTTGACTTTACTTTCTCTGGTGTATCTAAGAAGAGTTATTGATTTTTCGGTTTGTTCTGCTTTTAAGCAGTTAGGATGGAACAGTGACCTCCCAAGATACTAACGTGTCAGTTAATGGATTTGTTCAAGAACTTTATGTTTTTTTAAAATCTTACTATTTTGCAACACTTTGAATTTTGTGTTTCTGTATTTTTTTAATACATTTAATTTGAAGTAAAACCAATGTGAAGGTGTAAAGACCCAGCATGCAGAAGTCAAAATAGCTGACTTTACCAATTTACCAGTCACGGGAGGTCCGCTTTAAAGAAACTAACATGAAGAATGCAAGGAAAATAATGTTTCCAAGAAGATGGGGCAGACATTTTCCCCACCAAGTACAGTGTCAAAATCTGGACATTAAATACAAAACAAACATAAAGAGACTCTGAAAGTAGGTAGAAAAAGGCAGACCAACTAAGGATGTCAGCGCCCAAGGAAGAATACAGTGGTATTATGGGCTGACTTGTGCCCCACCCAAAATTTACATGTTGAACTCCTAGTCCCTAGAACCTCAGAAAGTAGTCATATTTGGAGGTAGAGTCTATAAAACAGTTTATTAAGTGGCAAGAAGAAATAAAAGGCATCCAAATTGGAAAGGAAGAAGTAAAACTCATTGTTTGCAAATGACAGATGACAGATAATACTGTATACAGAGAACTCTAAAGATGCCACCCCCCAAAAAAACTACAAGAGATAAATTCAGTAAAGTAACAGGATACAAAATAAATATCCAAAAATTGGTTGCATTTTTATACACAAATAATGTACTATCAGAAAGGGAAACCAAGAAAACAATCCCGTTTATAATTGCATCCAAAAATAAAAATAGGAATAAATTTAACCAGGGAGATAAAAGACCTGTATTTGGAAAGTTAAAAGACACTGAAGAAAGAAAGTGAAGAAGATACAAATAAATGGAAGCATACACTGCCTGTGGAAAGGAAGAATTAAATATTGTTAAAATGTCCACACCACACAAAGCAATCAATAGATTCAACACAATTCCTATCAAAATGCCAATGACATATTACACAAAACTAGAACATATAATCCAAAAATGTATATGGAGCCACAAGAGGTCCTGGATAGCCACAACAATTTGGAGAAAGAAGAACAAAGTTGGAGGAATCATGCTACCTAATATCAAACTATACCATAAGTCCATAGTAATCAAAACAGCATGGTAGTGCCATAAAAACAGATACATAGGTCGATGGAACAGAATAGAGAGCCCAGAAACAAATCCACACATCTTTGTGGTCAATTGACATTTGACAAAGGCAAAAAGTACAATGGGGTAAAAATAGTCTATTCAATAAATGGTGTTGGAAGATTGGACAGATAACATGCAAAAAAAACACCCCCCACAAATAGCCAGGCCACCTTCTTACACCATACACAAAAATAAACTCAGAATGGATTAAAGACTTAACTATTAGACTCAAAACCATAAAACTCCTAGAAGAAAACATAGTAAAATCTGACATTTCTCATAGCGATATTTTTTTCTGATACATCTCCTGAGGTGATAAAAATGAGAAGAAGTAAATGTGACTACATCAAAGTAAAAAGTTTTTGTACAGCAAAAGAACCAACAAAATGAAAAGAGCACTCACTGAGTGGAGGACATATTTGCCAGTGATACATCTAATAAGGCAGTTAAATCCAATATACATGAAGAACTCATGCAACTTAAAACCAAAAGAAACCATTTTAAATGGGTAAAGGACCTTAAAAGATATTTCTCCAAAGAGGACATGCTTTTGACTAATAGACATTAAAAGATGCTCAACATCACTAATCATTAGAGAAATGCAAATTAAAACCACAATGAGATACCACTTCACTCCTGTCAGAATGGCTATCATCAATAAAACTAGTATTGGTGAAGATACGGGGAAAAGGGAACCCTTGTGCACTGTTGGTGAGAATGCAGAGTGGTGCAGCCACTGAAAAGCAGGATGGAATTACCTTGGAAAGTTAAAAATGGAACTGACTTATGACCCACCAGTCCCATTTCTAGATATATATCAAAGGAAAATAGGCACCACTATGTTCATTGCAACATTACTTACAGTAACCAGGCTATGGAAGCAGCCAAGTGCCCAACATGGATGGACCTAGAGGGTATTATGCTAAGTGAAGACAGAGAAAGACAAATGACATGTGATTTCACTTACATGTGAAATTTAGAGAACAATATAAATTAACAGACATAGATACAGAGAACAAACTGATGGTTGACAGAGGGGAGGGTATGGAGGGCTTGGTGAAAAAAATGAAGGGATTGAGAAATGCAGATTGATAGTTACAAAATAGTCATGGGGATGTAAAATAACAGCATAGGGTACATAGTCAATAATACTGTAATAAATATATGGTGCCAGCTGGGTACTACAAATATGAGGGGGAAC